CTTGGGTGGCTCAGTCAGTGAAGCATTCGACTTTGGCTCAGGTCATGATTTCACAGTTCGTGAATTTGAGCCTCACATTGGACTCTGTGTTGACAACTCAGAGCCTGGAGGCTGCTTTGGATTCTGTCTCTCTCTCTCTCTGCCCCTCCCCTGCTTGTACTATTTCTCAAAAATAAACAAACATTAAAAAAAAGAAATAAAAAAAGTGAAAAGCATGTATAATGATTCTCGGGGTGGGGGGGGAGTGGGAGGTATGGATGCTGAATATATGAGGTATATGTCCAAATCTGAGCACATGCCCAAAACTTGTTGGAAGGCATGTTCATATATATGGATTTTTAAAGTTTGAGAACCACTGGACTAAACAATTGGGTTCCCCACTGAACCCACATCAGTACTAAGGAAATAGAATTGCCTTTTCTACATCAATTATCACGGCCTTCACTGTCACCAGATCCAGTGACCATTCCTAACCTGCTTATATACTTCCAATCCTTGATATTCAGGTTTATAAAATATTTGTCTTCATAAAAGCTAGAGGATGATGCTCGCCACCTTTTCTTCTCATCTGCCTAAAATCCATTTTACAATTTCTTCTAAAAATTTTACGATACCTTTGCCTCCAGGCTTCTCTGTCTCTGGTTCTTATGAGAGCAGTATTTGTCTGGAAAGCAGACAACAAATATACTAATATGTGATCACAAGGAGAAAAGGAGTCTGCATCTAGAGAACAGAGGAAAATACACATATAAGTATTTTAAGTGGAGGGAGGTGGAGTAGGTAGAGGGAGAGTTGACAGAGAAGAAATTAAGAGAGAAGGGAGGGGCACCTGGGTGGCTCCGTTGAGCATTGGACTCTTGATTTTGGCTCAAGTCATGATCTCATAGTTCATGGGATCAAGCGCTGCATCAGGCTCCATGCTGACAGCTTAAAGCCTGCTTGGGATTCTCTCTCTCTCCCTCTCTCTCTCTGCCCCTCTCCCACTCATGCTCTCTTTCTCTCTCCCAAAATAAATAAATAAACTTTAGAATAAAAGAGAGAGAAACGAATATCAAGCTCAGTGGTTCTGTCCAGTAATTCAGGTAAGTAAAGGCAAAGTAAGAGGCATATATGTATGTGCACCATGTGTGTATGTTTGTATGTGTTTTCTAAGTATCCCTAATATAGTCATCTAAAGTATACTTTTCCTAAGCCTTGATGCTAGAAACCAATTAAAATATTTATCTGTATATTTGAATATCAGGCCAGCCTTGCAGAGAGGAGCCTCTGCTGAGCCTCAGAGCTTGGGGTGAAACCCTGGGGGAAGATCATCTAAGCACCAATCAACCCACATCTAACACCTGGGTCATAAGATGGCCATGAAGCAGATTGCTCTCATTTGATCTTCAAATTATCCTCCAGAACCATTAACCATAGGTAAGCACTTCATAATTTTTAGCCATGAATGATAAGAAAAAAAAAATTTTTTTCATTTCACTTAAACACTCCTATGGGACTATTGTCTATAGAGGCTTGATAGTTGAAGGTTTCTGCAATTCTTTACTTTCCTCAAACTTCAAAGTTAACAGAGAAGAGAATACCAGAAAGAAAACCATTCCCCAAGTAAGAGATCATAAAGTACAAAATGCTTCTGAATTTCTTTAATAAATCTTACTGTAATCCCCAAAACGTATGTCTTACTATGCATCCCATAAACTTGTGAATACATTCTACAGTGGTATGCACCCCCATATGGTTGGTAAGATTTCAAGATTTGAAACCTGATGGCCAGGGTCCAAACTCTATTCATTAACCTCATGACCTGGGGCCATCACCCTAACCACACTGCCTTCGTCCTGTCCCTTCTTCCTCATCTGGGCAACAGGAATGTTGGCAGTAACAATGCCTACTTCCTAGGACTATTGTCATGAGGACTGTCATGAATTAATCCACCTTAATAGGCTTAGCACACTCTCTAGAGCATAAAAAAAGGACCCAATATATGTAAACGAGGTTAATATTATACAAAGGAAAGAAACAATACTATAAATCATTTAAAGACGAGTTTTAAGTTTTAAATTGTTGTCAGCAGATCCCTGCTCCTACTTCCCACAGAGACACTGAGACAAGCTTCTTCTGAGAGGACTTTTAAGTAAAACATCTAGAGATAAAGACACAGGCTAGCATACCCCAATTCAAATTACGTTCACACAAAATAATTTCTTGATGCTGACTGAAACTGTTGTCTTCTAAGACATTACCTTCTTTAAGCCCGAAAGCCTCAAAGTCTATAACTAGGAATGTAAGCAAATTAGAAGCCACTTTCTTTACACAGATTTCTCACTAACAAAATTCCACATCATGAACTTCTAATAATGTTTCTTGTCCACAGATTAATAATAACCAAGTTCAAAACCACATCATTTCCTTTTTCTGCCTCATTTCCTTCAAAGTGAAACATAATTCTTTCTTGGACCTAGAATAAAAATTTCCAGATTAACTAAGCAAATCGTTACCAGAAATGCAATTTTATAATACTACTATTTCAGGATACTCAAAACACATAAAACATCTGTGTGGTGTCTGTTAATACACAAAAATAACCTAAAAATGTGGTGTATACCACCTAAGTGGAAAATTGAGTCTATAACTAGAAGTGCAAACAGAAATCCACTCTAGAATCCATCAGTATTGTGTTTTGAAGTTCAGTTGGGAACATTTTAAGAACTGTGACACTTCCTTAAATCTTGGCCAGAGGTCAAAAACTGCTTGGCATGGATGTTTCATGTGCCCAACACAGTATTTTTTAAATTATTAAACTCAAATATTTTTAGGTGGGCCATGCCCTTTATTCACTCATAGGCCCTTAAAGGCATTTTGTTTTGCAAACTTTAACTAAAGCCCATCCTTAGAGAGAAGAGATCAAAAGATAACTGTTAGTTAAATGGGTAACTCACTGATGTCCTAATAAAGGCCAGAGACTTGGAAAATTAAGGGTACTAACAGTATCATTCAGAAATTCTTATAGTTTGCTTGTTGCGTTAATTTTAAGTATATGCTTGCGGTGTATGTATCTAACAGTGGCTTATTCGATTAGGACAGCTGAGCTGAATTGTTAAAATTCAATAGCTAGATTCTAAAAGAAACCAGAAAATAGAGAATTTTTAAAAACATGTTCCTGTGATATGAAAATTTGGGCTAAAATCCAAATTTTACATTATTTTCAAGAAATTAATCGCATTCAGTCAACAGTTGGTTTTTCCTCAAATAAAAGGAAATGAATTTGCTCGATGCAATATTTAAAGAGGAACTAGCTCCTACTGATGCATTTCCATGAATATTTATATATATACACACATAGAGACACGCACATATATACACGCACTCAGAGTAGGGACTGAGCCCAACTATATAACTCTCAATTCTTTTCAGTTCCATTGTACTCTCTGGGAGATTCTATTCCACTTACAAATTAAAAATTAAGCCTGAGTCTGGGAGCCAAACAAGAGAACACTGGAGAGGACTTCCTAAAGCATTAGTTTGTGCATCACTCCAAAGATATTATGTTTTAGGCACTGATGAGGCACAAGCTAGCTGGCTTTAGAGTCAAAATATTATTAGTTAGGCGTCCTTTTCAAATTAACAAGGAGGAAGGCTTCCATTCAGACAGCCCCAGTAAGCACACCCTTGTCTCCAGCTTCTTCAGAACACAAATACAAGGCACCCTGAAGTGAATTTGCTTCTGGGGGCCGTGTGCCTGAACTCTCCTGGATCAGTCTTTCTGAAGGTTCTGGCGAATTCTCCCTCCATCTTGGACTTGAGTGCTGTTGGGAGACTTCCCAGAGCGAAGGACATGGAGAAGGGAACCCCAGAGCAGACCGCGAGAGGGGATCCTCTTGAAGGCCTACTTCTTGGATACACCTGTTGGAAAGCACTTCTTTCTCTTTGGAATTCCGCCATTTCATTCTTCTGTTCTGAAACCAAATTTTCACCTATTGACAAAATAATTGGACAAAACGATCACTTATTCCATGTTACTTCACTTCAGTATTTTAAACTATAATTTCTCCTAGTATACCCTTCTATGAAATACCTTATTATGACAGCCAGCCTAGCAAAGTCCTTATCACTTTTCACTGGGCTCCTTCAAAAATATCTGAGAAATTACTTTAGTATAATATCCACACACTTATGAAACAAAACGACTGTGATAAATTGGTTACATCCTACAAGTATGATGTCTGATTTAACTCTCAATAGTTTAAAACATCATTTAGGCAATGCTAATTTATTTATAAAAAGGAAATGCCATTGACTAGTAATAATGTTTATTTTGTGCCAGGTGTCAAGGCATGCATGTTACGCCGAATACATAACTTAATCATCACAGTGAATGCAAGAAGTCCTCATTTCACATGTATAAAAACTAGGGTTCAGAGTGATAAACCAGTTCAAAGTCATAGAGCTAGTAAAATGGAAGCACTTAGAACAGAATCCATGACTGTGCTACTCCAGCGCCCAGGCTCTTATAACATTTACATTTCATCAGGAACTTCTAGAAAACTAAATTAAGAATACATTTTATAATGTTTTGATCAATTCCAGGCTTTATACAGTTTCCAAGTTTGATTACTCTAAGGATTTATCAAACTTGAAGAATTAGGCTCAATAAACAGCAACCAATTGTTGTACTTATGATAGTGGTTTCTAATTTGAGCCATATTCCACCTCACCCTACCGGAGTCTGTCTTTACTACTAACTTCTGTCTTTATCTGCTACATAGTCAACTGTGCCTGGTCAGAAAACTTCACAACAGGTTTCCTGACATCTCAGAATCCAATCACATTATTTTCCTGAGCATTACACTGCATCTTTACATGAACAATTTAGTGGATTTCTATTTTTAAAACAAAAACTAGAAAATTCTACATAAAAAAAAAATCATTGAAGTATTACCAAGTATTTCTCCCAATGAAGGAAAAAATTGAGATGGTCTTTTCAGATTGGGAAAACAATTTCTTCATTCTTTCAACCTGACTGGCAATTTCAAAATGGCTACAAAGAACCTGACCCCAGGCAAGTGAGTCCAAAAGACTGCCATCTCAGTTACAATCCTGTGGTTAAGGCTTTTCATAAGAAAACAGTACTAATGTGTACATACCAGAGCATTTGGTTCTATTCATGAACTCATTTATTATTTGTGGTGAGCATTTACTCCTAGAAAGCCTGCCAAGTATTTCTAGTGGGCTTTCACTAAGACATTTATTTGTGTCCACTGGTGCCACATTCATTATTTTCTTTTTCCCGTCGCTTTTCTGCATATCAAGAGTTGTTTCTGGGTGATATCTCAGTGGAAAAAAAAAAATCAAAAAAGTTCCTTCACAATCAACAGTATTGAAACAAAGGTACATATTTGGGGAAAATCATAAATGAAAAGTTCTACCTCTCAACAAATACAAAAACAATTTCCAAATGGATTAAACAGCTAAACACAAAAACAAAAGTATAAAAGTTTTAGAAAAAACTAGAAGATATCATCACAGTCATGGAGAGATGAATTTTTTTTTAAGCATGACATAAAACATTAAGGCCACAAAAGAAAAAAAATAGAGCTGACAATATAAAAATGAGAAATTTCTGTGTAAATAAAGATACCACAAACATGAAAAAGCCACAAACTACTTTAAAGAATTAAAACCAGAGACTCAAAGAGATATTTGTGATCCATGTTCACGCATTATTCATAATAGCCAAAAGGCAGAAGCAACCAAAATGTCCACTGATGGGTGAATGCATAAACAAATGTGGTATATCCATACAATGGAATATTATTCAGCTTTAAAAGGTAAGGAAATTTTGACACGTGCTACAACATGGAAACCCTGAAGATATGCTAAGTGAAATCAACCAATCACAAAAGGACAAATACAAATGATTCATTTGAAAGTACCTAGAACAGTCAAATCATAGGGACAGAAAGTGGTGGTTGCTAGGGGCTAGAGTGAGGGAGAAATGGGGAGTCACTGCATAATGGATACAGAGTTTCAGTTTTACAAGATGAAAAAAGTTCTGGAGACTGAAGGTAGTCATGACTGTGCAACAACGTGAACTAAGTACCTGATGCCACTAAACTGTACCCTCAAAAAAGGTTAAAATGGTAAATTTTATGTTATGTATATTTTACCACAATGAAAGAAACCACCAACTTGGAGAGTCTGCAAAGGCTGTAACAAGAAAATGTCACTAACTATAATATTCCAACTATTTTGATAACAGCTACAATAACTGCTACAAATAATACAGATAATAGCTAAAAAGTGGGAGCAATCCAAACACCCACGATGAGGATGGATAAACTGTGGTAAACCGTGTGATGGAATACTACACAGCCATGAGTACCGATGAGCTACTACTGCTTGCAAACATGTGAATGAATCTCACAAACATAATATTAAGGAAAAGAAGTCATATACCATAGCATTTGTACCGAATGATTCTGTTTATATAAACTACCCCCAAATAGGCAAAACTAATCTATGTTGTTAGAAGCCATGATAGTGGGTAATCTCAGAAAAGGAAACAGTAACCGGGAGGGAATCTGCAAGGGACTACTGGCCGGTGACAGGGTTCTACTGCTTGATCTGGGTGGTGGTAACACAGATTATTTGTCCTCTCCTTCAGAAAATCAAGATATATGTAGGAAATAATCCCATTTTTATATATATTTTTTAATTTACCTATTTATATATATTTATTTATTTATATTTATATAT